TAAACGTCCATATCCTAACTATAGATTCCGCTGCGTTAGGATTTATTTCGATAAAGTTCAATACTGTGCATGTTGTTTGACGTTCCTAACAGAACCCAACAGTGTGTGTGTGTGTGTCTGCAACGAAGTTGTGAAGAAGAAGGGTATGTAGATGAGAGAGACTAGATATTAAATGATGAGTGGGTCCCACGTAAATATATGTGTATTGACCAACTTACCCTTACTTATTGGTCAAATACACATATTTGACCCACTATGATTAAATAATTACTACATTGTCATTAATGATTGACTGTATTTTGACTTCATCTTAATTATTGATATGGTGTATCCAATGTACCATATTAATTCTTATTTCTTTCCTAGAGCACCATTCTCATTTGATCCTAACTATATATATATTAATAAAGTTATAACCCGCCTTCTCTTTTGCATCAGTCTGATCTTGAGGAACTGGAGGTCTGAAGACTAGTATTATCTTTATTCTTTATGCTTTACAGAATTTTTTACCCAATAGTAGATTGTTTGGTTGAATTTTTTTATTAAAGTTGAATAATCAATTTCTTGGCTTATGTTATTCATTCTTTCTGATGGATTTGTTTTTGCCTCAAACTTTGATGGATTTTTTTTGCCTCGTACAGATTGTTTCAAATGGCTCCTGGATTAGTTCGGAATCAAAAAAGAAAAAATCTTACCAAATAATTCTTCGTCTCATAGAACACCTGACGAAGACATGAGATTTATCAAGGACTAAAACCCGACAATCCGAAAAAACCGATATAACATCAGACAAAGTGAACAATGGATTGCCACCAATAACTGATGGTTCGTCTATAGGAAGCTTAACTATGAATTCGACGTTCGAGGAAAACATGACAACCATTCTGCCTCAGCCTCCTCAAACTTAGGAAAAGGAGAGTACTCTTATGCTAGAATTTCAGACTCCTCAGACTCAGCAAAAGGAGAGCACTCTGCAAAATCAAAGTCAGCAAATGGAAGTACTCATGATCCTCCATCACATAAGGGAAATCAACATCCTCAATCACCTCAGGTAGATATCATTGGTACGCATCTAATCCTCCAAAACCGTTGCGATTTTACAGTTGCAAAAACATGCTAAACATGATGTAGGTGCCTATGTGATAATTTGTAGTTGCCTTGTGTGATAATTTGAAGTCATCTTTCTTTTTTTTTTTTTTTTTTTTTTNNTTTGTCTTTACCCAATTTCCATTAGTCCGAATGACCATTTCAAAAGTTTGAATTTTTTTATTGGGAGTGGTTAATGGCTTCAAAGATTGAAACTTTACAATGGGGAATGGCTTTTATATTTGCCTTTTGAGTTTTTCCCATTTGATGAGAAAAATGAAACTTTATAGTGGGGAATGACTTACAATATTTTTCTTACAATGGGAGGTGACTTAAAATGGCTTAAACATGGGGAATGAAACGTAAACGGGGAATAACTTTACAATGGGGATTTACTTAAAATGAGAAAATGAAGCTTCAAAGATGAGGACTTGTTAATGGCTTCAAATATTGAAACTTTACAGTGGGTTTATATTTTTCTTTTGAGATTTTGACATTTGATGAGAAAATTATTAAATATGAGAGTGTTGAGAGTCTTGGTTTAGTCAGACTCTAATGGTGAATAATTGCAATTTGCAACATGATTTTAGCATCCCATTTTCATTTGCAGCGGTTTTATTTTAGTTTGTGATGTGATCAATCAGTGAGAAATGTGGTTTGTGCACTGCATAATTAGGATTGAATCTACCCTGGCTACAATGTTGGTATTGTTTGCACAGAGAAGCTTTATCAGATGGGTAATTTGGTGAAAGTGGAAAAAGACTATCTTTCATGTAAACTCAATTGAGTCATTCAGTTTTTACAGTTACCATATTTGTCTTGAAAAAGTATAAGAGCCTAACCAAAATGTTAATGAATTATCTTATATATGAGCAGATTAGGATGAAAAATAATTGTTAGTGTCAAAATAATTATGTTTAACATTGTGTTCTTGAACCTGCACAATAGTAACATTCTGAATTTATGTGCATCCTAATTTTGTTTAGAACATCCAAAATATGTATAATATTGTTACTAAAGTGCACAATATATATATATATATATATATATATATAGAAGTGCGCTCAAATGAGAATGAAGCACAATGAAAGAAATGAGAATAAATCTAGAACATTGAATCTTTCATATCAACGGTCACGATCAAGTCAAAATTTAAACATGGTAGTCAAATATTTTAATGGCAATTATGTAATTAAGTGTCATCTTATGGTCAAACATACATAATTGACTATTTAATAGGGGTAAAAGAGACATTACAATTTTATTCATGGGTCTC